CAGGAGCCCCTAGTAGCATCCTTGCTCCTAGTAGCGTGCTTTGTTCCATGTTGCTTAGTGTGTCTCAATTTTGCACTTGGAACAGCTTTGGGCACCAGTGTCCACTCACCAGGTCACAAATCTGTGCGGCTTTGGGCTAGAACTTACCCTGCTAGCTGCGGGGTGCCATGAACACTGGGAACTTGATTATCGTTCCCAACTCTCGTTGGACCAATCTCCTTACACGTCTCTACCAATTGTGAGAGTGTGATGACAATATACATAATTATATAGATATATTTATATAGTTCTTATCAGATGTCTTTTTGGATTGTTTGGTAGTCAACGTTATATATATAGTTCATTTCGCTTAGCGGAAAAGACTGCAGCGTGGGTTTCTCTGAGTGCACCATGGCGCACATGTGTGTGCATTGCTCCTTCAACGGAGAGCGTGGCAAGTGCGAACGGGTCGGTGCACATCACGCGCCCTATTGCCCGTGGCTTGACTTGAGAAATGCCAGCACCTGACCTTTCATTTCTCCCTAGGGCCTAGGTAGGTCATTCCTCTGTTTGTTTTGGCCGTTTTCAGTGCTTCACCTGCTTCACCCGCTTTACTGACTGTTCCTGAAACATGCCGAATCATTCTGTTTCGCATGCCGAGGAGGTTCAAGGGCACCTGCAAGTATTGCGGCTGCAAAGGCGGCTTCGAGTGCGTGGCGAAGGAGCGACGTGACGACGGTGGATCAAGCGCTTGCCAATAACCTATACGCCTATAGCCTAACACAATATTATGGATTGTTCAGTTTTGTCCATATATTGTTCAGTTTGGATATCCACATACTCCAGAATAATTCTTGAAGTCTCTTCTTTGGTGCATGGTCTGAGAATCTGTCTTCTTTTCCTTTCAGAAAGTAACCTGTTCAGCAACAAAATGTGGGTTTGGGCTCTGTTCAGCATCTACCCCAAACCAGACCTGTTGGGAGACCCGGAGACTCCAGGGGCCGTTGAAGGCTTGCACGCGCCGTCCTAGGAGCATGGCCATCATCAAAGCTTTTGCCCGCGTTTCAGAGGCAAGAGTCAAACCATGTCAAACCTGTTTCCATGGCTTTGAATCACCTGATGCCATGTATTTTATAGATGATTTGTAGATTACATATTTTTTTCTCATGACATATCACAGACGTGACCATTTGCACGTCTGCCATCAAGATGAGGCGAATGCAAGCTATGTGGCATCAAAGGATCCTACGAAGAGATTGCCATGTTAAGCCCCGCTCACAACCGCTTTTGCGGCTGGATAGCATGCAGAAATGTGCTGGCTATGATTGTGTATTTGTGTGCAAAGCTTCATGATTCATGTCGTTCTTGATTTCATTGTTCTGGATCCTTGGAAGCAGATTTGTTGTATCAGACTAAACTTCGCGACATGAAAGGCGAGCGATATTCCAACAGGCTGGGCGATTTGTTGCTCGTTGCTTTGTGCATTGCTTGTTCATGACTCATCCAACTCACACCGCTGCTTCCTCAGGTGTCACTTCTGTGGTGTGGTGGACGGAGCTGTTTGCGGGGGTCACCACCAGGTGCTTGCGTTTCGAAACGAGCGGCTGGTGGAGAAGCGAAATCGTCATGAATTGTCATAGCTACGTTCGTAGCTTCTTCTTACTATTTGCGATGGCCTCCACCGAGCATAGCGTCCTCCACCGAATAGTGGATGAAATGATGTTCGGAGTGACGAAAAGAAGGGTCACGGTTCCAGACGGTCGAGACGGTCGATGTTCTCAATGTGAAGGTGCGATGTTCACGGTTCCGTGGGGAGTGCAAGCACTGCCACGTGGTGGGATCCTGCTGGTGAAGTCCTTAGGAAAGTGTGGGAGATCGGGAGAGGAGCGATGAAAAAACGGGGGAAGGCTGGTTGCAGGAAGATCAACAAGTAGTACCAGTACGTACTAGTACTTTGATCCTTTCAACATTTGGATTCCTTCGTTCCAGTTCAATGATGCACACTTGACAACTCTTCAGCGCTGTTCAGCTCTTCATGTCTTCCAGCCACCTCAGCTCGTGCAGCTGCAGCCTGGGCACTTCTTGTGTTTCTGAGCTATGTCACCACCCACGGCCCACAGCACACCGAGGCGGGGGTTCCCAAGGTCCCCCCGAAGTGAACGCTACTAGGAGCAAGGACGCTACTAGGGGCTCCTGGCCTTACTACTAGGAGCCAGGACGCTACTAGGGGCTCC